CAAGCCATCATTACCAACGGATTCTAATTTATGAGTAGAAAAACATATTGAATATTCTTCTTCTCTTTCCTTTGTTACAGGCTTACATTATTTTCTGAATCTAGACCCGTACCTTCAAAGCTCTCCACGTCATGTATGGTACATATGAAGGGGTAACACTGTCGGGGAATCCTTCTGGGACTACATATGATCTTATGAAGGACATCATCTCCTGCATCACAAATTAACCGATCACAACAGAAAATTGAAAGAAAGTTTATTTTCCTCTCGATTTAAAGCTGAGAAACCACTTGCCTGTTAACCGACAAGTATTTTAAACAAATTAACCATTACAAATAGGTTTTGCAATTCATTCGAATTTTAATGTGAATATGTGTAACAGAATTACAGTACTGAATGAAGTAACAAAACTAACACGTTCTTGAAAGTAAAAGAGCATCAATCAATTTCTTGTTTTCTCAAGAGAATTGCAGACAAACCCGTTACACTAGGACCCAAAGAATCACATATGAGTTCTGGGAAATAATTCCCCGAAGATTAGGAAGCTGTTTTTAATCCAGGTACAATACTTCATAAAATGAGCGGAGTAGCAGAGATTTTAAGCAAAATTCTCAGTAAAGCATCAAGACAAACACACGACTAGGCAGTTAATTGGTAATAGAAGCATAATGTAACTACTAACATCAATAGGAGCTTGCGGCTTTTGACAACAAACAGCACGGATCGAGCCGTTCTTCGACCTTCCGGATAGCTCATTTTCAGCAACATAATTCCACCTCCGGCCATCGATTTCTTCGGAGCAAATCAACCTCAAGCTGGAACCAATAAACTGGTCCTCCACAATACCAAACTTTCTCGCCTGCGGACCAGCGAGAGAGAGCGTGGGAGGAACAGAATCAGCAGGAGGAGAAGAAGCCAGGCTAGCACTAATCCGCAGAGTTTCCCGAACGAGAGTGCGCGCTTCAGTGGAGGAAGCAACAGATTTCGCAGCAGAATTTTGGGGTTGCTTGAGCTTGATCGGAGCCATTGAGACAACAAATTACGAACCAAACTAAAGCGAAATGAAGGAAAAAAAAAAACAAAAAAAAAAAAGTTCGAACGAATTGACGGACGGATCAGGAAGAACCAAATGGAAACAACGACGAGAAGGAGAACGAATTGGAAAAGAGATTAGTTGAACTACCGAACGAGAACGAGAAGTTCGAAGAGGAAGCTTTGGAATTGACGGAGAAAGACATGGAAGAGAAGGAAGAAACGTGCAGGTGGCGTACAAATGGCAACGGAGCTACAGAGAGAACGGTGGTGGGAAAAAGTAGGACAACTTTTTCTCCGTCGTTGTCAATGGAATTTCTATCCTATGCGATTTGTGGTACTTGTTCGTCTCTGTATACTAGTGGGGATGGTGGGGCCACCTTTTAAATAGGAAAAAAAAATAAGTTGGGTTCAATATTAATTATTGTGTTTTAAGTTAGGGCTAACCTATAAGTAACTCAATTTTAACTCGTGTTTATATTAATTTTGAAATATCTAAAAAGACAATATTGTCACTTATTAAGAATTTCTTTTCGGACGATTAAAGTAGATTTGAGTTCGTGTCTGTGTTGACTTTGAAACACCTAAATGGACAATATTGTCACTGATCGAGAATTTCATTTTCAATGTCAGGCGATGAAAGTAGATTTGAGCTCGTGTCTATGTTGACTTTGAAACACCTAAATTCATTTTCAATGTCAGACGATGAAAGTAGATTTGAGCTCGTGTCTATGTTGACTTTGAAACACCTAAATTATGATGTTGTCACTGATCGAGAATTTCTTTTTCAATGTCAAACGATGAAAGTAGATTTGAGCTCATGTCTATGTTGACTTTGAAACACCAAAATAGACGATGTTGTTACTGATCAAGAATTTCTTTTCCAATGTCCGATGAAAGCAGATTTGAGCTTGTGTCTATGTTGACTTTGAAACACCTAAATGGACGATGTTGTCACTAATCAAGAATTTCTCCTCTAGCTATTGGAGACGTTGAAAATAGATTTGAGCTCGTGTCTACGTTCACTTTGAAATACCCAAAAGGACGATGTTGTCACCGACTAAGAATTTCTCCTCCAACTGTCGGAGATGATAAAAGTAGATTTGAGATCGTGTCTACGCTAACTTTGAAATACCTAAATAGACGATGTTGTCATCAATCAAGAATTTCTCCTCCAACGGTCGGAGACGATGAAAGTAGAATTGAGCTCATGTTTATGCTGACTTTGAAATACCTAAAATGATGATATTGTCACCAATCAATAATTTCTCCTCCAACTATTGGAGACGATGAAAGTAGATTTGAGCTCGTGTCTATGTTGACTTTAAAATACCTAAAAGGATGATGTTGTCACCGACCAATAATTTTTCCTCCAACTATCGGAGACGATGAAAGTAGATTTGAGCTCGTGTCTGCGTTGACTTTGAAATACCTAAATGGACAATGTTGTTACAGATCAATAATTTGTCCTCCAACTATCGGAGACGATGAAATTCAAGCTCGTGTTTACGTTAATTTGAAATAGCTAAGTGAACGATACTGCCAGATGAAAGGCACCGTTATCACGTGGTCGATGAAAACATTGATTAATTCATTTTTTTAAACAGAAACTTTTTTTTCTAATGTTTTTAACAAATAATTTAGAATATACAAAATAATTTACAATTTTAAAATTAATTGTCTCGAGCAGTTATATTAATTGAAGTTTACAATTATTTGCATTATTTTCTCCCGTATTATTTTCCGCCCTTAAATTTCACTTTTTTTTTTCCTTTTTTTCTGTGATTTATGTGTTCATGACACGTGGTGTGGTGGGGACCACGCCATTTTTACTGTAGGAAGCAAAATTAAGGGCATATTTGGCAAGTTGTTTTTATTTACTTGTTTTTTGAGAAACATAAATTATTTTAAAAATTGTTTCGTGTTTCTCATTTTTCTCATGACTATAAATTTTAGAAATTACAAAATCAATTTTTTTGCTTAGAGTTATTTGAATATTAATATATTTATTATAATTGAAAGGATTTTTATATGATTTAATATTGTATTTAGATATAACTATTTTTCACACACAGCCCACATCACTCGTCCTCACATATTATTAAAAGGTTTTTTCCAGCATCTTTTGTTTTCAATCACATCCTTTTTAAAAAATATTTAAAAAGGTCACCCAACCTAAAAATATCATGTATCGTGACAATATGGGTAGTATTTCCATTAATTGATTGCCACATAAGTTGGAACGATCCAGACCATATAAGTTGTAACAACCCAAATTCCGCTAGCAAATGTGGTCCTCTTTGAGCTTTCCCTTTTGTGCTTCCCCTTAACGCGTCTACTAGAAAATTCCCCTTTCAAGCTTCCCCTCAGGTCCTCTTTAGGCTTTCCATTTCGCGGTTCCCCTCAACACTTTAAAACGCATCTACTAGGAAATTCCCTTTCAGGCTTCCCGTCAAGGCTTTAAAATGCATCTACCGATGTTTTGTTCTCCTACTCAACCAATGTGAGACATCACAATCCACCCCCTTTCGGGACCCAGCGTCCTCGCTGACACTCGTTCCTTACTCCAATTGATGTGAGATCACTACCAAATCCACCCCCTTCGAGACCACGTCCTTACTGGCCTTCGGGGAACAGCGAGAAGGCTGACACATCATTTGGTGTCTAACTCTGATACCATTTGTAACGACCCAGGCCGACCGCTAGCAGATATTGTCTTCTTTGAGCTTTCCGTTTCGGGCTTCTGCTCAAAGCTTTTAAACGCGTCTACTGGAGAAGGTTTCCACACCCTTATAAATTGTGTTTTGTTCTCCTTTCCGACCAATGTAGGGCATCACATAAGTATTCTTTTAATAATGATGTGGACCCATTTTATCTGAAGAAAAAAAAAATCGTAATGTAAACACGAGGCTAAGTACTACAAGAATACTATAATTTCATTCCCCGAACATGAGTTGCTCAAATAATTTAGTTACCCAAAAGCAATGATTATATTTGCACGTGAGTGCGATCAAGTCGTAAATGTGACTATCATGGTTTAAGAATTCATATGTATTTGTCCACGTTTTTTCACATAAACCACCTCACCACGAGAGTAATTGAAAAGTTTTAGTTTACATTTTGACATGAATTTCAGTGTTTAATTATTTTGTTATTATTTTTTTAATAAATTCATATTTTGTTATTGATGCTATCGAGATACAACTATTCGGGACAAGAGAATCATAGCATTTTTATTTGCATATGGGTATAATCAAACCTTGTAGAGGAACCCTTAAGTTTTCGGGGCATTGAATCCTCACCAATGTTTGCATTACTCTAGCCGACATTCTCACTTCCGCTTCGTCCATCACAATTCGCGCCGATGCTTACCTCTAAGGCGGAACGCTACCATATAGATGCATTTTTACATCCCACAACTTCGAAATATCGCTTAGCCCTGTTCATCTTCAGAATATGAGCGCTCGATCAGTGAGCTATTACGTACTATTTAAGGGTGGCTGCTTCTAGGCAAACCTCTTGAGTGTCTGTGCACCCCAAACTCATTATTCATCAAAGAGTTATATAAAGGCCTTAGTTGGTGATCTAACCCATTTTTATAGGACCATCTTTCACATAAAAATCAAAAATCATTTTTAACGGTATCTGTTAGATGAACACGACTCTCCACAATGATACAATATTGTCCACTTGGTATCTGTTAGATGAACACGACTCTCCACAATGATACGATATTGTCAAGTTCTTGTGGTTTTGCTTTAGGCTTCACAAAAAACCTCACATCTACCGAGTATTCCTCTGTTATAAACCTATGCTCATTCCTAAATTAGGTAAGGTCAAGTCATATTTGGAGGTGAATTTAAAAAAATCATGAAAAAAAAAAAAGAAAAAAAAGGAAAAAGAAAAAAAAGGAAAAAGAAAAAAAAAAGAGATTAAAATAAAGGAAGCAGAAGAACTTAAGCCAGTCTCGTTCTCAGATGCTTTTCATCTGATCTGTACTCTCACACTCACCTGACTCGTGAAGTTACGACAGTGAGCGACCGCAACTGCTTCGCCGCGCTGCAGCGGGTGCTCTTCCTTGTAGGTCAGTTCTTCCCTTTTGGATTCTTTGCTCCTCCATTCCCCAGTGCCATGGCCGGAATTTTGTTTTTCAACTTTGAATCCCCTCCATTTCGATCTCTGTTGATAAATGAACCGCCATTGCTGCAGTTTCTATTGCTCTGTTGTTGCCTTTGTTGTCTAGGGTTTTTCCTCTTGAATTCCATCGTATTTTCTTACGCGTACGGACGATGACGTTACGGTCTGGTTTTGTGTTTTAGGGTTTCTTTCTTTACATGCACTGTCAGATATTACTTTCTCGAGGTCGTTAAATGATGCCAATTTCGTTCTAGGGAATCTTTAACTAATTAACAAATACATTTTCTCTTTCTTTGTGATTATGCTGATATCTGTTTGTCATGTTGTGGCTTCTCAGATCATTCGCGTTCTACAAATTAAGGTTGGTGGCATTCTCTCAGGCCTAAATTAACAGCTCCCCAATGGCGAATTTAGCGATGACGGGTATCCTAGAGAAGGTACTATTTTACCGGATTGCATGAGTAGTAATAATCTATATCTATTACATTTTTACTTCAGTGATATTTTCGGCTTGTGGTTGGTTTGACTTGCACGTGTGTTTCATAGATGACAGGCAAAGATAAAGATTACAGATACATGGCAACATCTGATCTATTAAACGAGTTAAACAAAGAGACTTTTAAAGCTGATACTGAGCTGGAGACAAAACTGTCAAACATAATCATACAACAGCTTGATGATGCAGCCGGTGATGTTTCTGGGTTGGCTGTGAAATGGTATGTAGGACTTTTACATTTTCTGCTTGCTGACCATTGGCTTCAATGGTCGTTGCTTACCATGCAACGGCAACTCCAATAGATGATTTTTTCTTTGTGATCTTGTAGGCTGTCTGTTTCTTTAAGAGGAACTTTTTCTTAAGACCATATGCATGTATGTGAAAAGAAAAAATGGAGAGATAGAATCGATCAAGTTAATAGGAGTATTTATGTGGTCTTACAATTCTTAATCTTTTCTTTTGATCTCTTTCGTCAATTTAAATTTCAGCCTTGCCCCATTAGTGAAGAAGGTTAGTGAAACGCGGGTCGTGGAGATGACAAATAAACTTTGTGGCAAATTGCTCAATGGGAAGGATCAGCACCGTGATGTTGCCAGCATAGCCTTGAAGACAGTTGTAGCTGAAGTTTCTGTGCCATCTCTTGCTCAATCTATTCTCATCACTCTTTCACCCCAATTGATAAAGGGGATCACTACTGCTGTGAGTGTCTGAAACATTCATCTCATTCAGTTCTTAATGTTCAAGCTTAGAAGAATTTGAAACTTTAGAGCATTCTTTTGACATCAATTTTTATAGATTTAGTTTCAGTAGTTAAAGTTGGCAAATGCGAATATATGTTGTTAGCCGTCATAGCAACATTTATTAGCTTCTTAGCTCTAAGTACCTATTGAATCTAAGCTCCGTTGTTTTAATGCCTTCTAATGCCGTTCTTTTAAATATTTGGTTGGAAAGAAATCAAAGAATTTTGAGGACAAATTCTTTTCTTGCTCAGGCCGTTTTGAATTCATCAAGATTAAAGCTTCTTGCGGTTTTGCATGATATTCTTTTCAAGATATTAGTAACAATTGGGAGGTTTTCTTGTAGAGTTGCTTTCTTTGATCCTTGTTTCAATATCATTTTTCTGTACTTATTTTATTTTCTGCTTTTTTTCAGTCTACGTTTTGTAGGCTATTTTTTCTTTCTTTTTTTGATCGTTCTCTCTTCTTCATGAATGAAAAGATTTGTTTCCTTTTAAAAAATTTATATCTTTCTATAGTTTGTGCCGATAGAAACCTCTTTAGCCTCTGTGGAGAGCTTCCCTAGAAGTTGCATTTTATCAATGATTTTTTTTTTTTGGTTTTCTATAAAAGAAAATTTTTTAATGACACAAGTCATGAGTTTATTTTAGTATTTTTGTTCATCAATGTTTCTTTTCATTATTTAGCCTTATAATAATGTTTCTAATTGACTTCATATGGTCATGCACTTGATTTTGTATATATTTTTGTCTTTTACTTTTGCCTTCGCTTTTTTTTTTTAGAACTTTTTTTTGTCTTTTCGGTAAGAAACAGATAGTTCATTGATGTGATGAAATATAAAAAGGGAGCCCCAAACTAATTGGGGGGTTAGGAAAAGGCCTTCCAAAATTTTCAAAAAGTTATTTAATAACTATAAGTGAGAAAATTATTTACGCCAACCATGAGCATTGACAAAAGTTCTGTCATAAAATCTATCATGAGAAGAAATTTCTTGTTGGAAGTTCTCTTGTTCCTCTCCATCCAAAGGTTCCAAAGGAATAGTCTGATCATCTGAACCCGCAAGATCTCAGGCAAATAAACCATGGTAATTCTTTTTGCATAAAAGAACTTGGCGGTTAGGAGGGTTAAGGTTGATTAGACCTGAAAATCACTTTCTATTAACAGGTTAATTAGCTTTTGAAGTATATATACTGAAGCATGTTCCTAAATTTAACATTTCTTAATTGTTTTACTATGCTAAACAGTGAAAGCTTAAGTTTGGGCCTATAGATGTGCATGTTTTATTATACAGGGAATGAGCACAGAGATAAAATGTGAGTCCCTTGATATTTTATGTGACGTTCTTCACAAATTTGGAAATCTCATGACGAATGATCACGAGCTTCTGTTAAGTGCATTATTATCCCAGTTGGGTTCCAATCAAGCCAGTGTTAGAAAGAAGACTGTGTCGTGTATTGGTAAGACTCAGATGATAAATGCATTCGCTATTTCAAGTTTTTATTTAACTTTTTTGTTGGCTGCTCTTGTCATTTTGATGTAGATTTATTAGTAATTATTTTGTAATTTTCATTTGAATGGTTAGTTGTTTTAGTTAGTAGTTAGTTAGTTGTTTGCTTAGTTTGTAGGTTGTAGGTTAACCCATTCCTCTCCTATATGTAGAGGGTTAATCTTTTGTTGTTCACTTACCTTTTGATTCACATTAAACATTCCTTTGAGGATTCTTGGAGATATTTTCCTTTGATGTTTTCAAATGTGAGAGGGCTTAATGTCTAGGAGGATGACAGCCACCTTTAGATGTGACACACTTCAGTTCAATTGGGAGTGTAAAGCGAACTTGCACCAAAATCTGCAAACCACTTTCTTACCAAGAACATCAACTAGACGCTTGCTATCAGTTAGAGATATTCAAAGAAATTTGACCAATGTTCAATGTATGGTGGGTACTGTGGTCAAACACTAGGATCAACTGGCTTTGAATCTTTCTTATCAGCATGGTCAAAAAAGCAAGCAGTAGACAACGACCATAATTTGAATAAAAAATGACAAGAATGACCTGTGTGACCGACAAGAATGCTCCAAGAACAGAGAGCACACATTCGAGAGATGGTTAGGAAGCCTCTTCATCATTGATAGACTCCTAGAATGCCAATATTTGGCTTTTGGTTCAAGATTCCAATTTTTCCAGCAAAGAAGTGGAGTTTTTTCATGGATTTTTTTGGAATACTTTGATGATGATTATGATCGGACAATGTTGAAGAATGTATTCATGGATTTGATGAATATTTCCGTGAGGAATATGAAATCTTGTTTCGCTTGATTCTTTTTTTGCTGAAAATGAAGAATCAACCAAAAAGGAGATATAGTATTATAAAAAAATGGAGTTTGCCCCCTTGTTTTTTAATTTTCATTTTTAGTGAGGTTTGTAGAAGCTCCTAATCGATGAAGTTTTTGTTTAAACAACCACACTCCTATTCCCTTGTTGGCATTTTTGGTGTTGTTAACTTATGATTTGTTTGTAATTAGCTGGTAGAAATCTATCTTCATTAGTTGAAGCATTACTTGCCAATTCTGAGGTTTCAAAGACTTGACATACAATCTCTCTCTCCGACTCTTCCATAAGAGTCGGAGAGAGCAACAATCTTAGGGTGAGTGTAGAGTGTAAGCTTTTATTGTTCAAGGAGTGAAACTTTGGGTCAAAGGTGGAGATTGAGGAAGTTAGCATGCGCAAATCTTTGAGTGCTCAAGTGAATCTAGAAGTTATAGTTAGGTAAGAAATTGCTTTGGAGATGTGGTTCGGAGATTGGGAGGTGAGGCTTTCTTTAGGAAAAGAGGCTCTCTGGAAGCGTTGGTTTGGGTGCAATGTGTGTTTAACGCAAGGGTGCTTGGCCTATGTTGGCTTGAGACCCGTTTAGAGGAAGAAGAGCTTCCATTTTTGTTCAGAAAGGTAAAGATAGGGGAGGGTGACATTCATTTAAAGTTGCTTTAGAGCCAGTGCTATTTCTTATTAATTACTCTATACGCACTTCTTCTAAGGAGCAAGGTCCAAAAATTCCTCCCCAGTTAGCATCTTCATTTGCGCATACAATGAAATGGGGCTTGAACAGTTTAGAGGTTGATTGGAGATTCGAAGGAGGAATTCGATCTCCCTTCTGTAGTCTCACAAGGTGTTGTGGTGATGGAGAAGGCATCTTGTTCTTGGGTGGAAGTTGGGAGGGATTTGTGGAAAGTGTTTGGAGAGAAAGTGAAGATGAGGTGTTTCTGTGGCAACTTGGCAATGGTTGTGTAAGAATTATTGGTGAGAAGAGTGACTAGTAAACTTTAGGAGAGGCTTATCAACATTTGTACCATTAGTTTGAGACTATGGGATTCAGGTTTGGTGGGGGAAGGCAAAAGATTGGAGTTTGAGAAAGGATGGGTTAGGATCATAGATGTTCCCTCTTACTCGCGAACTCTTGAACTTGTTCGTAATTCGGCGATACTTTATGGAGGGGTTGGCAAGGGGGATGACATGACATGATTTGGTCCATAGAGAATTGGGAGGTTGATATTTGTTTCAAGTCTAGGGGGAATGGGATGGGTATATTCCACGGGGCTGTTACATTAAGTGGGAAGACATGGAGTTCTCGATTACATTTTTGCTGGTTGAAGAAATTGGAGTTGATGGCGATGAAGAGTTCTAGGGTCAGGAGGGAGAGAAGGAGACCTTTTTTGGCAACGCCAGATGGGAATGAAGGTAGCAACATTGTTATTTTTTAGCCATTAATTTGACTGGGAAAGCTTTCAAATTCTCTTCATAAAGCTGAGAACATTTTACCATTTTTGTTAAAGTAGAAAAAGCGAAGGAACTTTTGGGGGGACCGTAAGACATTCTTCATTAGCACATGGCAATTTCAAGGGACCCAAAGATCCTCCTTGCATATACTTCGGGTGATCATCCTTTCTAAAAAGGAAAATAAGCTTTTATGGAAACATTTTGTGAGAGTATTCTACTGAACTATGTGGAACTTGATATTTGTGATGGCAATGATGGTAATCGATCAATCTAAGTATTTGAAATTGTATTCCAACTTGAACATAACTCAACTAGTTTAGACATTACACTCGACCAAGAGAGTTGAGGTTTCAATCCCTACCCAACATGTTAAACTAAAAATAAGTATTTGGTACTGTATAGTATAAATCACATGTAGTGTAACAAAGACATGAAAATGGGATCACCTATTGTACTTGTTATGAAACGTATGAGCTGCTAGTAGAGGTTTGTTGAATTAATAATTTTATTGCTTGCAGCCTCTCTTGCTTCTAGCTTATCAGACGATTTGTTGGCGAAGGCAACAACTGAGGTTGTTAGAAGCTTGAGAATTAAAAGTACCAAAGCAGAAATTACACGCACAAATATCCAAATGATTGGTGCTTTGAGGTAAGTTTTATGACACGAAGCTTTTCTATGTAAGATGTGTATTGCATTCTTCATGCCATGTCCTGTATGTAATGGAAATTGAGTATATTTTTATACCTCTAATATTAGGTTATTCAGAGAAATGGAAAATATGTTTATGTGCTGTGATATCTATAGCTCATGTCATAGGCCAAATATGATACCAGCTGAATTGATGTAATGTATCTTATTAAGAACTAGGGAAAAAAGAGAGAGAAAGTAGTGAATGTAATATGAGAGTTGATTGTTAAATGTTCAAGTAATTTTGCAGATTGTTAGGTGAGATGGAAGGCCAACTAACGGTGGATACTGGTTTTCCCACTTACTGAAGTTCAATTCATTTGTTCAAACCAAAACTTAAATATTAAATGTGATGAAATGAAAATTTTCTATAGGTTATTAGTTGAGTAATTAAGGTCCCATGTTATAATAAGCACTCAAACTTCTAATATAGTAATTTCTATAGTTCATTAGTTGCGCAATTAGTTCAATTCCTTTGAAAGTCATGTGCCAAGTCACTGGTAAGTATATTTTATTTTATTTTGTTTTTCAAGTGATAGTGTTCCCCTTTTTAAGGATCTCAATTGTGAGACAAACAGAATTAGGCCTTTTTGGTAATATGCTAATGAATTAAAATTTCTTGGCATCATAGCCGTGCAGTTGGATATCGTTTTGGACCTCATCTTGGGGACACTGTTCCCGTGCTTATCAATTATTGCACAAGTGCTTCTGAAAGTGATGAAGAGCTTCGTGAGTACAGTTTACAGGTACTTAATCTTCTCACTTATTTTTGTTAAAAACTTACACTCACCATGAATTTCAGTTTGTATAATTAAACTTTGATGCCTCTTTTATATTACTAAAGTGGTCTTGCGATTGCAGGCTCTTGAAAGTTTTCTTCTAAGGTGCCCCAGGGATATTTCGTCCTATTGTGATAACGTTCTTTATCTTACCTTGGAGTATTTAAGTTATGACCCAAATTTTACTGATAATATGGAAGAAGATACTGATGATGAGATTCATGAAGAAGAGGAAGAAGAGTAATATATATTCTTTTTGTTTTGTTTAATTTTTTCCTCTTTCCTCTCTCTTTGATTTCTTATTAAAAAAAAGTATATTCTTTTTGGTTTTATTTCATATTTTGTAATTGTTTTAATGAACATATTGTCCCTTTGTGGTGGAGTTACAAATTTGATGTATTACTGATGCTATCTTGCAGTGAAAGTGCCAATGAATATACAGATGATGAAGATCTCAGCTGGAAAGTCCGACGAGCAGCTGCTAAATGCTTATCAGCATTAATTGTATCACGACCAGAGATGCTTTCAAGACTATATGAAGAGGTGCTTTCTTTTAACTTTTTTTATGAAGGCCAAGTTCTCTGACCTCATCTTATTTCATTTGATATTTTTTCAGTTGATCTTCAATTGACCTATAGGCTATAGCCATGATGTTTTTATTTTTATTTATTTTTTATTGTCTGCTTATGTTTCAAGTCATTCTCATATTGGCAGGCTTGTCCAAAATTGATCGATAGATTTAAAGAGAGGGAAGAAAATGTCAAGGTAGTAGGCATGTTATAATTCAGATTTAAATACTCACTTGCACGTGTATGGATGGTCATTTATTGTTTTATTTTTTCTATGAAAGGTTTTTCTTAAAAAAAGAAAAAAAAGAAAAAAAAACACTCACTTGCACCCGTTATGGATGTTTATTGTGTATGCAGATGGATGTATTTAGTACTTTTATTGAACTGTTGCGCCAAACTGGAAATGTAACAAAAGGGCAGGTTGACATGAATGAATTAAGGCAAGTTCATTTTTTCTTTAAATATTTTTGGTTCATTTGCACCTTGGCTTGGCTGTGGGTTTTTTTTTTTTGGTGCCTTGTCTGTAGGGCTTAATAATTGGTGTGACACCATATTTTCATGGAGTAAATGAAAGAATATCAAGAAATGAGCAAAAACAAAGAAAAAGACTCACAGCAAAAGAGCCAAAAGAAGAAACAAAGGGCAAAAGCCAGAATTGTGTACTAAAAAGGCTCTAATTGTTGAGGAAAATAGACAAAGGATAAGTACAAACTGGTCAAGGACACCCAAAGGAAGGCATTAAGGCCTATAGCTGAGATGATGGAAAGATGTAATATTGTTCGTATTTTTAAGGAAGAAGTCAATGATCATGATCTTTGTTGCCTTTTGCCTGAAGTAGAGTGAAGTTACAAAATCTTTTCTACGAGGATATTGTACTGCTATTGGTAAATTCTTCATGGGATTTTAATCCTAGTTTGGAACGAGTTTAAAGTGTCTTTCAACGAAATCTGAGAGCATAGAAATTATTTCAGAAACGAATGATTTCATTCCTTACTTTGATGACAATAGTATTTCTCTTTGCTCTTGTAATTTTTGGTGTTTTGTTGTTTAATTAACTTAATCCTTTTTCCTCCTCCATTAGGAGATTGTATACTTGAACATTGTTTTTCCTTTTCATCTATTAAAGTTTGTTTTCATTAAAAAAAAAAAATCAGATATAAAGGTGCCAGGTTCAGTAGGGTTTTGGAATTCATGTTCTAGGGGTCGTTTATTTGGTAGGAATCCAAGATTTCTATGTGATGTGCATCTTGATTTTGTTCAGTATGAATATTGGATTTCTGGCCATATAGATGCTCGAGCATCTTAGGATGCCCATGTGGAAGGCATCTCAAGAGCTTATAGTGCCCTCCTGAATCATGAGTTTTCGAGATTCTTATGTTGCTTTTTTGCACTTGCGTTTTCTTTCTTTGTATATATACTTCATCAATTTTCGTTATTTTATTTTATAATTAGAATAAATCAATGTATTCATTAGATAATAAGCAACTCTATGCGATTAAATATATTTATATTTTTCATTTACATATAAAATAAACTCTATTTAAATTGTATTTCATGTATTTCAATTTATTTTTAATCGAATCTAAAGTGTAATTTTCGATTTATTTATTGCCCTATGGCCTCCAAGGGCTGGATTTTGTGTTGAATGAAACTGGGATCCGAACTTGCCTTCCTATTTATTTGCATATTGGCAGCCATTAAACATAATTACAATGAGGTGGTAGTTTTGATTGGCTTAACCCGTGATGGGATCTCTAAGTTCCAGTTTGAAGCCTCTTTAGAGGTTTCCTTGTATTTCTGAATTGATATTCAATAGTAATGAAGTTCAATTCTGATTTTCTTCCTTCCAGTACATAACACTTCTAATTATTTTCAAGTTTAACAACGTTCATGATTAACTGGGCTAGCTTACCATTTTATTTGCATATTTGCAGCCATTAGCCATAATTGCAATGAGGTGGTAGCTTTAATTGGTTTAACCCGTAATGGGATCTCTAAGTTCTGGTTTGAACCTCTTTATAGGCCTCCCATCTTGTATTTCTGAATTGATATTGAAGATTAATGAAGTTCAGTTCTGATTTTCTTCCTTTCAGTAAATAACATGGTCCTTGATTAGTTTTTTTCCCCAATATCTATTTATTTATTTTTTGTATTTATAATTAATAAAATCTGTTTCTATTGATTATTGGCATAAGCAGTCCAAGGTGGTTGTTAAATCAAGAAGTGCCAAAGATTGTGAAATCTATAAATAGGCAGCTACGGGAGAAATCTATCAAGACAAAGGTAAAGAAATTGTTGGTGGCTGTTCTGGGTTTGGTATGGGTCCATTTAAATTTTATGCTCTGATACCCTGTAGGTTGGTGCCTTTTCTGTCTTGAAAGAGCTTGTGGTTGTCTTGCCCGATTGTCTTGCTGATCACATAGGATCGCTCATTCCAGGAATTGAAAAAGCATTAAGTGTATGCACTATCATCTTCTGCTGCTTTGCATATAAGTTCTAGCAATTGAATTTTATCTACTGTGATGCCAATTTCTTTCCCTTCCCTTACTCTATCGTGGCTCGCCTCGCTGAACTTTGCAGGATAAATCATCAACCTCAAATTTGAAGATAGAAGCTCTTATTTTCACTAGATTGGTGTTGGCTTCAAATTCTCCTTCGGTTTTCCATCCTTATATCAAGGTAACAAGAAAAAGAGTCACCTGGCTAATGTACATTGTAGCATATTGAAATTTGTATTCTTTTTTTTCTGGTTAAAGTACCATTTGGTCCCTATACTTGGAGATTTATTCTATTTTGGTCCAAGTACTTTCTTTCAAATGTCCAAATCCAAAATTTGTCCCTATACTTTCAATAAATCTTAAAAATGTCCCTACTAATGAAACCTAAAATGCCGGTATCAAAATGACATTTTAACCTTGTTTCTTTTTCAGTGAATGCAGATACTTTTTCTTAGTAAACTTGCATTTCTGTGAAACTGTTCATATTTACTAAGCAAAAAGTCCTTTTTTTGTTATAAAAAATAAAGTTTTCAGACTTTGAGGAGTGAAGGAGTTCAACTACCAGCATTAGGTGCAATGGAATTAAATTACAGGGTTGGTAGGTGTTTTCAGTTGTTATGGGGGATCTCTTCACTAAAATATTACGTGTGTTTGCTCAGAAGGATAATTTGATAGCGATCAGTTTTGGAACCAAATTTAGAGTTAAAATGTGGACTTCAAGCAGGAATATTGACTCAAGTTCATTTAGTGTTCTGAAATATGCCCGTTTAGGCGTATTCTATTCTTTTTGGAACTAGTTTTAGAGTTAACATGTAGATGCAGTTGTTCTATAGTTAGGCCAGGATGTGTATGAAACTTGATGAATGTTAAATTTGTAAATATTTTCTCATTCTGTAAGCAATAGATTGGATGTGATTATTGCATTAATAACTTGATCTGCGTTGATATAGGATCTCTCAAGTCCTGTTTTGTCTGCTGTTGGAGAGCGTTATTACAAGGTTACTGCTGAAGCATTGAGGGTATGTGGGGAACTCGTTCGGGTTGTTCGTCCTGGTATTGAGGTGAGTTTAAAAGTTTACTTTTAGTTGTAGAATTAGTTCATTGGGCCCATTTGAATTAATACTTTTCATATTTTTCAAAATGCAAGTTTTCATTTTTACTAATGGTGACATTTGTTTTTTTTTTTAAATATATATTTTTTGATTTCTTTGCTGTCTAAGCCATATTTGAAACCAGAAACAATACCCCTTCCCGAAGATAGAAGTTTTTCAGGCATTTGAGGTTGTGTGTTTTGTTTTGTTTTTTTTTGTAAATCATGCTGGGTTACTACCGATGTTTTTTCTCTCATAATCTATTTTTAAAAATGTATTTAAAATCTAAACCACATTTTGGAAAACCTCTGAAAGTATATATATTTTTATTTTTGAAATTGCGGCTTTAATTTGACCTCAATTTCAAAATTATTCTCTTAAGAGTGAAAAGCTATACAAATAAAAGGTTTCTAAGTCGGCTTAATTTAAAAAAAAAACAGAAAATAAGGACAAAATAGATCTTAGGATGTGCTTGGTGAGTGATCTAAAATCAGAAAATTTGTAAATAAGAGATTCAAATGAAAATAGAGTTGTATTTTTTGTTTTTAGATGGAGTTGTGTTTTGTGCTTTTTAGATCTGGTTTTGGTAATAGATTTATAAACTGATCTAAATTAAAAGAATTGTTCAAAGTTTGTTTAAAAAGTTATGAACTGAATATTTAGCTCAGTTTCAAATATCATTAATTAGTTTATTAACATATTTTATGTCATAAATTTTGTAGAACTATTATTGAGCAATATTATATAATTTAGAATATATTTTGTTATACATCTTTTAATTTTAACATAATAAAATGAGTTTATAGCTTGAAATAATATATTTATCATTTTCTTTTACTTTTTTAGTGTAGTTCTGCAATTCCAAATTTCAAATGTAAGACTTGTACGAAATGAAAACAAACTCACATAACAGATATTCACTGAATCTGATTTATTTCGGGAATCTAAAAATTAAGAAACAAAATCAGAATTGTATACCAAACAAGCTCTTACCTTTCTGAAATTTGGAGATGATTTCGAAAGTATTAAAAGAATATTGAAAATTCGAATAATATGCTAGCCACTTTTATATTCAAAATAATAGAAAATAAAGAAACAATGGCTACTCAGAGCTTTTGGTATCTTTTCTGTTTTGTAATCTTATTTTCAGCATCTCTTTTTTTCCCAGGGGCAAGGTTTTGACTTCAAACAATACGTTCATCCTATATATAATGCTATAATGTCACGCCTGACTAATCAAGATCAAGATCAGGTCTGTTGAACCTCCAAGGGTGAACAGCATTTTCTCCGTCCATTTACAACTATTGCTTATTCTTATATTTGTTCTTGAAGTTTTTCTTTAAAACGTCCTTAAAAGTACTGAGAAATTAATTGGAATGTTCTGTTTTTCTTTTAGAAACAATGAGAGTTCAATTTTTATACCTTAAAATATTATTTTAGAGATTGGATACCCAGAACTGTTGCGAAATGCTTGGCATCTTTATTATGCTTCTAAAAAGGATGTACCCACATCCCATTGTCTTTATAACACAAGTTGGATTACATCATATAGTAAGAGACCTCCCAACATAGTCATCCACAAAACTTTTTTGGAGGCTTTCATTTCCAAAATGTTTATGTAGTTCAGAATGCAAAAATTTTTACGGACTGAACTAATTTTTTTTTCAGTAAAGAAAGAATATTTGTGAACCATGTAGATACTGTTTGAAAAGGAGTAGATAGAGTAGAATTTTCAATTGATTCAGGTACTTGAGGCCCTATGGCTGAAGACTTTGTTACGGAAATTGGTTGGAACTTCCAAATACTTGATATGCCCCCCTATCTCTCATAATTAGGGTCTTGTAAACTTGGGTGTGAATTTCTCTTAATATTGTGCAGCTCTACCATTTCTGTTCTTTCATATTGTTTAATGAAAGTAATTATGAACGGATCAACTGTTGGGTTTGGCTACTTTTTTAGTGGGCTGGTTTTTGTTTTGTTGGTAGGGGTGTGTTATTGTCATTCGTATTGAGGTGCTTGGGTTTGTTATTTTTGCAGAGTTGGTTTTGTTTCAGCGAGCTGTTGCATTAGTTTTGTTTGGATTCCTTTTGTTGGTGTCTGTTAAGGGATTTTCCCCTTCTTTGGGTCTAAACTTTTGTGGATAGCATAGCATTCTTTTATTGAGATTGGGTTTTTCCTGCTTCTTTGTCTTTTGAACTTAATAGGGATGTTTTATCGCCCTTGTTTTGGTTTCTTTGTTATTCTTCCTGGAGGTTGTATCCTTGAATATTTTAATTCTTTTCATCTGTTGAAAGGTTAAGGTCAGAGTGAGTAATAGTTGGAGGATGATTACAGCTAATCCAACTTCTAATGTAAATTTTCAGGAAGTCAAGGAGTGTGCCATCTCTTGCATGGGGCTTGTTGTGTCTACATTTGGTGACAACCTCAAAGCCGAGTTAGCAACCTGCCTTCCAGTTCTTGTTGATCGGATGGGAAATGAGATTACCCGGCTTACAGCTGTTAAGGTTAGTTTGGTTCTTTCCAGTTTACAAGAAATGCATTTGTTTTTATTCTTCTAGTTCTAGGTTTCATCTTTCAGCCCCCTATTTCCCTTTATTGTCAATAATATGCTATTTTTCCATCCGTATTTTCCAGTTGCTTCAAATTATTTGAAATGCTAGAACGATGGCTTTCATGGTTGTGGTTATGTTATCGGGTGCCGATTTATGTAAAGTAAACACCAAGAGTTGGTATCAGGTCATAATATGAAAGGATAGGAAGATGTGGAGATGCATGTTCTTTTGTAGTGTTAGAATTATTGCCATGATAGATTCAGACTTCAGAGCATGGCAATTTTCCAAGGACGGGAAGACCAAGAAAAATGTGAAAGTATCTTAGGTTGTTGTAACTTGAGAATGAGCGAATTTGTTGATGTTGCACCGACGAAGTATGGAAAGTGCCAAACATTGGGAACTACCCGGGGAAGAGTTAGGAACAGGAATAAGGAGAAGCGAGAAGGAGGTGGGGACTTCCTTTTGGTAAGAGTGGAAACTTTCATTATCAAAGCGATGTACAAATGAGGGGAGATGTGATAACCACACACACCAAAGGATACACAAAAGACTCCTAATTGGCAAACATTTGCATCACACTACAGTTACAAAATGCTTTAGATAAAGACCAAGAAGAAGCAAATGTTTTAGCTAGCCCCCAAAAAAACAGCCATCTTAATTCTTGTCTTTTGTTTTCCTCAAACCATAATTCTCTTCGGCCGAATATGAAGGACAAATAAACGACTTTCAGGATGGTAATGAATACTCAAGTATCAACCACTTTCAGTTTGGGGATGATACAATCCTCTTCTCTAAAATGTCAGATGTCTCTTCCATAGAAAATAGAGATTATGGGCATAATATAGTATAGAGATTATCAAAGACTTTGCCAATATATACTGTTGTAAAAAGGGTGAATGAATGAATATGTAGCTAGGATTGTCTTTAAATGGGAACCACAAATCCTTCTCCTTTTGGAAGACCATTATTGAAAACATTGAAAAAAGGTTATGAACATGGTCATCATGTTATATTTTAAAAGGCGGAAGACACACCCTAAAACTAGCCACATTGTCCGACCTTCCTACTACTACATTTCTGCCACAAAAAATGGCTACGGAAATAGACAGGTTATTAGAAAACTATCTGCAGAAAGATGATCTACATCTTGTCCAATGGAAAAGGGAGACATTGGTCTATTTCCGATAAAGGAGAAGAACAAAGCTCTCTTTGCCAAATGGATATGGAGATACTATCATAAAAATAATGCCTTGTGGAGAAATCTTATATATACTAAATATACTCTTGCATCATGTACAAATTGACCATCCACTTTCTGCAAAGGGGCCACGGAAGTACATAAAAAGTACCGCCAACTACATGTGTCATAGAATGGGTGATGGGGGAAGCACATCTTTCTGGATTGACCTTTAGATTGATGTTTTGACATTCACAACAAATGGCCACAATCAAAGAAACATGGAAAGATGCAAACAAAATTTGGGGCCTAAAGTGTAGGAACTAAAGGATAACGAAGTTGCGGAATGAGTAGAATTAAGCCTTGACCTACCCTGATCGTAGTTTTTGAAAAAGTAGACTCACTAAAATGGCTTCCTAGCGTTGACAGGATCTTCTCTGCAAAATCTTTGATGATGGACATAGGGGGGAAAGGTAAAAGCAATCAACCCCACACCAGCGAAGACAATATGGAAAGGAAATGATCCTAAAAAGCTGAAGTTTTTTCAATGGAAAATAGTGCATAAAGCCATTAGCACAAGTGAAAATCTACTAAAAAGAATGTCCTACATGACTACTCCCAAGTTTTGGTTCCTTTAAGCAAGAAAGACAATGAATCACAAAACCATTTATTTATGCAGTGCACATATGTCCATAATTTTTGGACAAGGATTATCAATATCTTCCAATGACATCTCACTTTTCTAGGTAGGCAGAAGAGTTATTAGACATGACCTTAACGTACCACCCTTCAAGAATGCAAAAGCTTCTACGAAAAAATTTCATTATGGCTCTCTTTTGGAATCCATGGAAAGAAAGAATAAAAGAGTATTCATGGAAAATACACTAACTTATACAAATTTCTTTGACAATATTGTTTACCGCATTATATCTTGGCGTAAATTGTCTAATAATTTTGCTTCTTATAGTCACACTTTCCTCATAAATTGGGAAGGTCTTTTGTAAGTATCATGGACAGCACATACCTTTGTAAATTTCACACATCAAAGAAATTGGTATAGAGCTTTCATGACACAGCAGTTGGCCACAACAGTTGGTATAGAGCTTTCAAGACATTACTGGGAAAGCACAAACAATATTGTATAACCTAAAAAATCCTCCCAACAAGTGGCAGAAAAAGGACATGTGAGAAAGAGATGCATCATGTTGCCCCCTTTTTTCTACAAAGGACGAACCAATTAGGGAAGAGCAGCACCAATGGCATACTTTCGTAGAATCTGCGGTTGTATTCAACCTTTCAAATGCAAAAATCCATGTAAAGACCTTTGTTTAGTTTGAGCTAAATCATCCTTGGAGCCGAGTGGACAAGGTTGAGTCACTAGGAGAGCATAACGTCAAAATGCTACATCATATGTGGTGTTGAGACATTGCTGTAGCGTCTCAACACTACCATTTGCACCCCAAATTCAAAAGGGTGCGCACACACATCTAATTTGATGCTAATTTCCATAATGTTGCGACATTGTGGCAACTTATTAAATATACTTCGCATTTTCGAGGGTTTATTCAGTGAGTTATTTTGAGAGTGTGTATGGCTATTGTATAGAGGAAAAAGATGTAAAATCTGTTTGCAGCTATTCCTAGTTGGGTTTGAAGATTTGTTTTGTTGTATCCTTGGCATTCATTATTATGTTGCTTAGAAGTCAAGGTAGCCATTGTTAGGCTTCTTGAAGTGCAGTTTGTAGCATGTATTTGAAACCATTTGAAATCTTCATTATAGTAGAAGACTGCGTTTGTAGAAGATTGGATGTAGTTTTAAGTTTGGAGTGAATGAATATTTTTTTGGTCCGTTCAGTACTTTTTAGTTTAGCAAATCATTATTTTTTAAGCTTAGATGTGGGAGGTTTTGGACCGACCCATGGATTGAAAACACCACGCTAGCCTTGAAGTATCCACTTTTGTACAAACTCTCATAGCAAAAAAGCCACGATTAAAGAAATGTGGAATGCTGTCAACAAATTTTGGGACCTAAAGCTTGGTAGAAGTTTAAAGGATAATGAAGCAGCTTAATTAAGCCTTGACAGTACTGAATAGACCACCGTCTTGCCATTTGCTACTTTGGTAGACCCCTTCATCATTATTATTATTATTTGTTGTAAACTCTCTATCTGTAATTTCCCTCTAATATTATACTCCCATATCGCTCTAGTTGCGGTTATGCCAAAAGTTCAATTTGAGTTGGTGTTTCCATTGGGATATTTTAGTCTATCTTCCAGAAGTTATTTCAAGTTGGTGGCTGAAAGGAAAAGCTGAAGTCTTTTGAGAAGGATGCCTTGAGAAAGTGATTACAGAAAGATCCATCAGCCCTGCACCAAGTGGCTGCTGTATACAATATAATATCAAATAAAAAAGTGTAGTTTTTCTCATTTCCAATGTAATTTCTTTTCAGGCCGAGTGATCCAAAGGAAGCTCCATCCAATTAGCACATATATCACTTAGAAGGTGATTACAGAAAGCTCTATCAACCCTGCACCAAGTGGCTGCTGTATACAATATAATATCAAATAAATAAGTGTAGTTTTCCTCCTTTCCAATGTCATTTCTTTCAAGCCGAGTGATCCAAAGGAAGCTCCTTCCAATTAGCACATATATCACTAAGAAAGTGATTAGAGGAAGATCTATCAACCTGCACCAAGTGGCTGCTGTATACATTATAATATCAAATAAATAAGTCTAGTAAATCTTCAAAGTAATTTCTTTCAAGCCGTGTGATCCAAAGGAAGCTCCTAATCAGAATCAACCATAAATATTTCTATGCATTTTGAAAGGATGAGTGATCATGGTTTTGTGTAGGTTGACAATGAGATATTGTTGTGCATAGGGATGCTCCAGCCTAAAGCTTTTTGGAACTGTGTAAGGCTTCATGCATCTAGTTTGTTGTATGTTGCTAGTGTTTAGAAATTGCTGTCTTTTATTATTATTATTATTATTATTTTTCATTTTAGCCCAGATATTTGGTAATCTTGGAGCTCTGGCTTAGGTTGAATATCTCCTCTCCGATCTTTTATATTTTATATGGTAGTATCACATCTTTTCTTATCCAACGAAAATGTTTTGTTTCTCACTAAATATGATGCTTTCTTAAATACAAATATTCGGCCCCAGGCATTTGCTGTCATTGCTGCTTCTCCGCTTCAAATAGACCTGTCATGTGTTTTAGAGCATGTCATATCAGAGTTGACAGCGTTTCTCCGTAAGGTATGGAAACTACTGGTGTAGTCGGTGATGATGTTTTTGCTTGCACTTGCAGACACTTGTTTCTTTCTTTATTGGCTGCCAAGTCGATATATGTACATGTGAGTTAGTTAGTTTGTTTTTTTTGGTGGAACAACAGGCCAATCGGTCATTGAGACAGGCAACTCTGGGGACTCTAAATTCACTTATAGCTGCTTATGGCGATAAAATTGGCCCTTCAGCATACGAAGTCATTATTGTGGAACTTTCAACTTTGATAAGGTTTTAATCTCCAAACCCACTCTTTCCCTCTCCCTCCATTCTCGACCCTCCATCCTGCATGCATTTTGTTTCACTCATGTTTGAATTTTTCATCCTTTTGGCAGTGATTCAGACTTGCATATGACAGCTCTTGCATTGGAGTTATGCTGTACCTTGATGGCTGACAGGAGGTCTAGCTCAAGTATTGGTTTGGCCGTTCGGAACAAAGTCCTTCCTCAGGCACTTCTGCTAATCAAAAGTTCACTCCTGCAGGGGCAGGCACTTGTGGTATTCATATCTCTGTGATTGTTTACGTATTGTTATACCTTAATTTATCATGCCTTCAAGTTAGGAACTATTGGTATTATGAATTGCAGGCTTTACAGAGCTTTTTTGCTGCATTGGTCTCTTCTGCAAATACCAGCTTTGATGCCTTGCTGGACTCTCTTCTTTCATGTGCCAAACCATCACCTCAATCGGGTGGTGTCGCAAAACAAGCTTTATTTTCGATAGCCCAATGTGTTGCTGTTTTGTGTCTTGCCGCTGGTGATCAAAAGTATTCTTCAACAGTAAAAATGCTAACAGAAATTCTGAAAGATGATAGCAGTACGAATTCTGTAAGTCTATGTTTCTTGTCTTTTAATTTTTTTTGTTTAGTATAAATATTCTAGTAGTTATTCCATGTGAAACATATGTGTTATGGTTGGACCTGTACTTCATTTATTGGTTTGTTTGGTTTATGTGGCCTGCTGAGTTGGTGTTGCTTCGATATGTATGGCGTTAGGTGAAACTTCAACATGAAGAAAATGTAGCTTCAATGGTGGAGGGGGGAAATAAAAGTTTTAAATAGAACTTATTGTAAGTTGTATTGAACAGTACTTTGTGTACGGTACATTTTTTTGTTCGAGTAAAATAAAGTTTTGGGATCTCTCACTTATGTTGTCTTTTACTTATTAGTGAAATATTTTCATCCAAACAATATTTTGAAAAGTGCGCTGAGGCGTGCTTATTAAATCGATGGTAGAGTCCTAGCTAAGATAGACTTCGGGTATAAATGGAGGTTGTGGATTTGGAGTTGTGTTAGATTGATGAGGTACTTGTTCCTTGTTAATAGTAGACGTACTTGTTCCTTGTTAATAGTAGACTGAGGGGGAGAATCTGTGCCTCGAGGGGACTTAGACAAGGAGATCTTCTCTCACCCGTTCTCTTCCTGAGCATTGCGAATGTCTCAAGGAATCATCTCAGGAGGTTTCAAAGTTGGTGAGGATAACATTTCTCGGTCTCATCTTTGGATGACACTATCTTTTTTTGTTAAGGCAATCAGGAGTCATTTGTCAACCTAAATAGTTTTCTAGCTTTCTTTGAGCTCATATTTAGGTTGTAGAATAATGGAGGTAAGTGCCAGCTCTTGGTGTTGAGCTATGATCTTGTTAAGCTGAGGGTGGGCAGCTTTGGTCGGGTGTGATGTTGGATCAGTCTCTTAGTTCATGAACCTAGCTGCATGTCGTTTTGGGATCCTGTTGTAAGATTTACTAGAGACTGTTGTGCTGTAAGAGGGTCTCGTCCTTGAAAGGAGGCCAATTTACTTTTATCGGGTTATTCTTGAGTGTGTTCGGTACCTACTTTTTATCCTTTTTTCTAGGATTCCAATGTTTGAAGAAGATTATGAGGGATTCCCTTTGGAAAGGGATTGAAGAGGGGAAATGGGATTACTCATTCAAGTGGGAGGTGGATAGGAAGCCAATAAACTTTGGGGGATTAGAGATTGGTAATGTGAGGGCCCGTAACAAGTCCATATGGTTAAATGACTTTCGTGGTTATCATGAGTTTAGTATCTTAGGGCATAAGGTTGTGGTGAAAAAATTTATGTTGTCGCCTTTTGAAGAAACTTGAGTGGGATGAAAGTTCTTCTAAATTAGAGGGACACTTTTTTCTGGGAGGATAAGTAGTTGGGGGATAGACATCTTTGCTCTTTATTTTTTCGTTTATTCTTGTTATCTTTGTGAGGAACCACTTAGTGGCAGCAGTTTTGTCTCAGCCCATGTCCTCTTCTTCGTTGGTGTTCTGGCATGCTTTGTCAGCTAGGAAATGTTAGATATTGTTGATCTTCTGTCATTGATTGGGGGAGTTGTACTCCAAGGAGAATAGATGTTTTCACATGGAATCCTAGTCGGTCTGGAGAGTTCTTGTGCAAATCCTTTTTTTCTTTGTTTAGTTAGTCCTTGTCTCTTTAATTATTTGGTCCTTGTCTAGAGGTGAAAATTCCCCAGAAGGTTAAGTTTTTCGTTTGGTAGGTCCTCCACAAAAGATTTAACACTTTGAACCGAGTGTCGAGGAGGGTGCTTAACTTGATGGCCATTGTGTACATCTTTTGGGTGGGGGGCAGCAATGATATTGACCTATTCTTTGAGGCTGTTATGTTGCTTACACAATTGGAATCGATTTTTGAGAGTTTGGTCTAGGCTTGGCCTGGATGCTGAGAGATGATCAAAAAGTACTTTTCCATCCTTCCTTTTGCGAAAAGGGAAGATTTTTTTGTATGGGGACTATGGTGAGTAAGAACACTGGACTTTTAAAGGGCTTGAGAGATCTCTGATTGAGGTTTGGTCTCTTGTTAGATTCTATCTGTCATTCTCCGGTTTTGGGACGAAGTTTCTTCTGTAATTATCATTAAGACTCATTTTACATGAATGTAGGGAAGCCCTTTTGGTAGTTTGCCTTAACTTTTTTTTGTGGGCTTTCTTTTTGTATGCCACTATATTATTTCATATTTTCTCAATGAAAGCTGGTTATTCATTAAAATAAACAAGCTTATTCAGAGTGCCTCGCTTTGCCATTAGCCTCAATGCTAAAGTGTACATGTTTTCTTTTTAGATTTTCTGTTAATAGAATTAAGTAATATCATCTAAAAACCCTATTTTATCCAAAATTTTCATTATCTTATACTATATATTTTTGTAGTATAAAAAATTGATGTTTTTCTATTCTACCTATAAAAAGACCCTTCCTCTTTCTGCACTTCATGTTTAAGTCCCAAAGGACTATTGTGCTTCTGTAAGCCTCGTGCTATAGGAAACACGACTAAAAAAGTTTGTGTAAATTTCTTTTTGAAGAGTTGTTATGTATTCTACATGTGTATGTATTTCCTGCAATTTTGGAAGCAACTAACTTATATCTTGTAAATGAATCTTACTTAATTATTCACTTTCATAGTTCATGTCTGTCTCTGTTGGAAAATTATCCTGGTGTCTAATGTCTACTATTGCAAAATTCAGGCTAAGCAGCACCTTGCTTTACTCTGTCTTGGGGAGATCGGGAGAAGGAAGGACTTGAGCGCACATGCTCACATAGAGAATATTGTTATTGAGTCATTTCAATCTCCCTTTGAAGAGATCAAGTCTGCTGCCTCCTATGCTCTGGGTAATATTGCTGTTGGTAATTTATCCAAATATTTGCCTTTTATATTGGACCAGATTGATAATCAGCAGAAGAAACAATATCTCTTGCTTCATTCACTGAAGGAGGTATGTGCATCAGATGCCTAAAGTCAGCCGTTTCTGACTTTATCTTGCAGTTGTAAGTTTGCAACTTTTATCCATTACAGGTGATAGTTAGGCAATCTGTGGATAAAGCAGAGTTTCAAGACTCAAGTGTTGAGAAGATACTTAATCTACTCTTTAATCATTGCGAAAGTGAGGAAGAGGGAGTCAGGAATGTTGTAGCTGAGTGCCTCGGTAAAATTGCTCTTATTGAACCTGGAAAACTTGTTCCTGCTCTCAAGGTATCTGATCAGGTTTACTATTTCTGTTTTACCGTGGGCTGTGAATTTGAACTTTTACATAGCATGTTTCAATGTCTTCTTTAGGTAAGGACAACAAGTCCAGCGGCATTCACTAGAGCAACTGTTGTAATTGCAGTCAAGTATTCCATAGTTGAGCGACCTGAGAAGATAGACGAGATTATATACCCTGAGATTGCGTCATTCCTGATGCTTATAAAGGATCATGATCGTGTAAGTACCAAATATTCATCTTGAGATACTTAGCTCCTTGGAAATCCTTTTTTTTGCTTCTATTTAGTTTATCAAGTGACTGTTGGTGGTTCATTGGATGTAGAATCTTAATTTAACATGATTTTGAATGTATGCAGCATGTTAGACGTGCTGCTGTCTTGGCCTTGAGTACATTTGCCCACAATAAGCCTAACCTTGTAAAGGGGCTTCTTTCTGAGTTATTGCCGCTTCTTTATGATCAAACAATTGTGAAGGTAATCAACTAGTTCTCTGCATGAAGTTAAGTTGGGCTTGCTTCCAAGTTTATTTGCTCCTTCCATTTTATCCGGATGAAAGTTTGTTTCTCTCTCTCTCTCTCTCTCTCTCTCTCTCTATCTATCTATCTATATATATACTATATTAAAAATGATAGCACACTAAGTTAGTTAATAGTCTCTGAATATTGAGGCGAGACTATAATTTCTGTGATATTTGCCATTGTAGATGAAATGTTGAGGTTGAATTACAGTGAATTGCTATGTGGTATGATAATTTATGATCCAGACGGGTGGATTTGGTTAAAAATACACTTTTGATCTATGGGATTTAAATTTAATTTCTATTTGGTTTCTTAACTTTTAAAACTGAGTTTAATTTCTATTTCGTTCTTGAGGTTTCAAAAGTGATTTATTTGGTCCCCAAGGTTTGTATTTGATTTTTAATTGGTCATGAAATCTGAAAATGATATCTAAAACGTTTCCAAGTAAAATTAACTGTTAATTGATATAACCAAATGATGACGCTGTCTTCTAAACCATTATTGCAATTTGGCCCCCGAACTATATTATATAGACCCGCTGTTTATCAGATGTAAGGATTATAGTGGGTGAATTGGTTTTCACCTTGGATTTTTTTTTTATATCATTTGTCCTCGTAGTTTTAGTTTTCCTTCCAATTACAATTTTAGAGAACTTCAACAGAAGAAATCATGTTATTCCTTCGGAGTTTATTTCCTGCCTTTTCTTTAAACTTTTAATATGAAGGATATACATGTTAATACTGTCTTGACCTTTGATGCAGCAAGAATTGATAAGAACAGTTGATCTCGGTCCCTTTAAGCATGTTGTGGATGATGGGCTTGAGTTGCGGAAGGCTGCTTTCGAATGTGTGGATACATTGCTAGATAGTTGTCTCGACCAAGTGAACCCATCATCTTTCATTGTTCCTTATCTTAAATCTGGTTTGGATGGTGAGTTGTCAACTTACCATCATAACTTTTAGCAACAAAATTTAACTTCAATTTTGTCTTTGTTGGCATGTTCTTGTCTTCTCTGTGATAGTATGTCTTAGTATTAATCCGTTTGTTACTTGTAGTTTATCATTTCTTACTGTGAGTTCTGTTGAATTTTTGTGTTGCACAAACTTTTTTCATTATGCTTAGGTTTATTCTTACACGAGCAACTTGTCATGCGGAAGTTGAAAGAATCAGTTTGATCTATTACGTTGTTTGATGTTTTTGGAAGTTGATAAGGATTACATTCTGTCCTTGTAAAATTTTGAACTCTTGGTTCTTTTTTATTATAGATCACTACGATGTTAAAATGCCATGCCATCTGATTCTATCAAAACTTGCTGATAAGTGCCCATCAGCTGTATTAGCAGGTTGGTTTATCCTTCAATCAAGTCGTTTAAAATTCTTGCACTAAGATTCTTTCCTGATGTATACTTCGGTATTTTTCCAGTTTTGGACTCTCTGGTTGATCCTCTTCAAAAGACTATAAACTTCAAGCCAAAGCAAGATGCTGTTAAACAAGAAGTAGATCGTAATGAGGACATGATTCGCAGTGCTCTACGGGCAATAGCATCTCTAAATCGCATAAGGTTTGCTTTTCAGATGCATTTGGTCTTTTCTTTTTATCCCTTGTCTACAATTTGGATGGTCCTGGAACAAAATCCCTTCTGGAATGGCACAAAAAGAGGCTGTAGGCTGTAGATATTTTTTTTGCTAGTCAATTCTACTTGATAAGTTGGTATACTGAAAAAGGCAACATATTTCTGGAGGAGACACTGAATATACTAATTTAATGCAACCACTACCAAAAAAGAAAAAAAAGAAAAAAAAGAAAAAAAAAGAATCTTGAAAAAGTATCATGTTCTGGTTTATATTTTGATTGTTACCTACCTTAAATATTAATATTATGTAAATTTCTGAACCCCAAATATTGCGAGGGTAGACAGCAATCTTGTGAGATTAATTTAAGTGTGCAGAAATTACATGGTCATTTCGAAGTAATTAAATATGAAATATAATCCTAATAACACCATCATAGAAATTGGCTTTTTGAGATTTAAAGGAAGTTTTACATAAAAAGACTGGAAAGTAAAGGAGGAATTGGAGTTTGGGATGGATGTACAATGATCAAGGTCCAAGGAGTCATGAAAATCTCTTCATATGATCAACAAAAAGGAAAAGGAGTAATTATATGAAAGTTTGGGCCTCCAGGCAATTAGAAAGATGACATCCTTCCACTGAAGACTTCTAGGCTTCATTACAGAATCTTCCTAGTTTGCTCGAACCATACAACCCAAAGGATTGGAGATTGATATTAAATACTTCCCAGTTGATGTGCCTCGTTTCCCATTGATGAAAATTAGAATTAAGGTTTCTGCATATGCTAGATAGGGGTTCATATAGTTGCGCAATGTGGTTTTGGGCACAAACTAGTAATGAAACTCAACCATTCAATTTATGTTGGTCCGAAATGGCAGTTTTTGCAAGCTTAGAGAAAAAGCAACTAACCATCTTCCGTGTGTGCTAAAACTGAGGCCAAGAGTGAGTGAGCTAGAGAGAGGTTGAATCTGATGGATGCTAGAAGGAGACAATGGAAGGATGTGCCAGCTGTGGCTTGGTTGAGAGGGCTGAGATGCCAGAAGAGAAGCCAACGAAGAACTGAGAGAGGGACTGAGGATTGGCATCAGCCAATAATTGCGTGGCTAAGCACCCATATTATGGGACGGTCTTGAGAGGTTGGAAAGAGCTGGAGAGGAGAGAACTTGTTTAGTTAGGGGAGAGGATGGGAGTAAAGGAGGCTTTCATTAGCAGTTTTTTATTTTTTTATTTTTTAATAAACATACTAAATCCGTTGGTCAGAAAGTTATTTTCTAGCCACTCCGATCGACACTAACTGGCATATCCATTCAAACCAACCAAATGATTGTTTCTTTTTTTCTTAGGATTTTTTTTTTCCATTTAAGAAACGAGGACCTTTCATTCCAAAAGATCAAGAACAGCCTTACAGGACAAGTAATCCCTTCCCCAACAAACTTGCGAAAATACCTTCCAATCTAAGTCCAATTTGATTTACAATGAATTTAGAAGGTACAAACTTAACAGAACAGGAAAAAACTGAATTTAGTCGATTTCATTAAATAAAAAATTCCCAAAATTGATGTTGAACCTTATGTGAGCTTCACAAGAGAAGGTTCTGCCAGTACTTGTATTGTTAATTTTGTGATTTGATCCTCAGATAAATAAGTTTGCCCAACCTGAATGAATAGCTTGCATGCTAATTTTGGAGCTTTCACTGTCTGATTTCTGTGAGTAACCCGTGTTTTTATAATTCTTGCAGTGGAGGAGATTGCAGCCTTAAGTTCAAAAATCTTATGAATGAAATTTCTAAATCTCCAGCTCTCTCGGAGAAATACTACTCGATCCGAAATGAGTGAAAGAAGACGGAATGATGAGGCGTCATTGTGTAATATTGAAGTTTAAAGTAATGAGGAAGATTATGTTGTCATTTTGGTTTCTGCAGCATAAGCCTTCTTCAGTAAGATGACACTATCGGTTTGAAGATAGTGAAAGAGCTTCTAGTCACGTGGGGATATAAGGTCGGTTGGAGGTTGAGGAAGTAACCATCGAGAATAGAAATGGAGGGAAACATGCATGTTATTATTTTGGGCAATATTACAAATTCTCTTTTCTTTTCTTTTTTTTCTTTTTTCTTTTTCTGGTGTATCCTGTCATTGGTTCCGAGTCCTGGTTATCTCACTTGACCATATGAAATCATATGTCGGCAGACCTTCCAATAAAGAAAAAATTAACTTTACCCCCTTCAAGGGTGGGTGGCAAAATGAAGGAACACACCACATCTTGCTTGGTTGGATTGGATACACAATTTGGTTTTGTGATATAGGTAGGTAAAATGTCGATGTCTACTGTATTAGACAACAGACATGATGATGGATGCTGTTGATGCTTTGTGATTGATCGTTTTGTTATTGAACTCTGGTGTGAATTGTGATTACAGAATTATAATCGGTGAAAGAAGTGAATTTTCTGGTGACTTGTGTTCTTTACCCCCTCGTGATATCTGGTTTGGGTTCAAATACACCACTAGAATGTATTTCCAAGAAAATGTACATGGACGATCAAGCCATTCGCAGTTGGAACGATAATGGGCTGTGAACCTAAATGAAGCAGTATCTTTGATTTTTAATGTCATTACTATTATTCATCTTAGGCAAAGAGATTACGTATTAGATTTCATGTCCACGAGGAAAACCAGGTTATTATCATGTAACCAACTTCACTGAATAGAAGTCTCATCTTAACATTATCACTCTTTTTTGACAGACAGGTAAGCAATGGGAATTGCAAATGATAGATGACGAAACACCAACATCCTCTGATGGTGGTGGAAATTGACTGTGTAATTTGACTCTCATCTCATATTTGTAGTAGAATTTTAGAACTCTATCTCTGCATTTTACCTGTCGTAAAGCCACTAGTGTTGGAGCTAGAGCCAATTTCTTTGTATCCACATAAAGGCTATGAATTTAAAATCCTTAAGTGGAAGATGAATCAGGGTGTGGTTTTTTTAGGCTGTTTAGGTCTTTTTTATTGCTTTGGTTTGGAGAAGGGGGGCCATTCCCATCTTTCTGCAGCCAATATTGACATCTGTTCGGCCAGGAGTTTTGAGGAAAGGGCCTATCCCCATCATGGGGAGCCAAGCTCAGACAACAAAACATGTTTGGGACATGTCTCCTTGCATAAAGTTGTATGATTGATTACTAAAAAGCTTAGTACACATACTTCTTTGCAGTGTTTCTACTGCATAACTCTCTCTCTCTCTCTCTCTCTCTCTCTATATATATATATATATATGGAAATCCTTTCTTTTTTTCCTTCCTTTTTTACTTAAGTTTTATAGGGATTTCATTATGTTCCTTGTGCATGCATCACATCACATTAGCTAGATCTCTTTGGGGCCCTTTTTTTTCCCACTTAGTTATTCCTTTTCTGTCAATTCATATTTTTAATGAAGGTTATGCTTGGCTCCCCAAAAATTAAGGAACGAAATTGATGAGAATTTGTGGGAAGGAGATGGAGAATGCTTTGAGTACTGCCAATGGACCTTTGCCTAATATATATCTTTTGCTTACTATCCTTTCCAACTTCTGTAAAAGTCTACTTTTTTTTTTTTTTAACCTTTTTCCAGTTCAATTCTTCATTTTCAGTCCTTTGATGAGAAAAAGATTAGGATATTCTTGTAGTGGAATACTTATTGGTGCTTCACTTTGTAAAGAAAGTTTCTATAGCTTTTGGATAAAGGCTATTTTATCTTTACTACTTAATTCTTTTAATAATTTTTCAAAAACCAATTCTTTCTTGAAAAGTCATTAAACCATCTGGAGAGTAAGATAGTTTTAGAGTCCTATCTTTCATAGAATGATCTTTTTTTCAGTGGAGGAGAAAGCAACTTTTGTCATTCATTTGAAGATAATATGACGTAGACAATGGGACATTTACAGGTACACATGCTTATAATATTTGTTTACTGTCTTATCTACTGAATTAGGTACACATCTATCACACAAACTCTATCAATTCACCCACCCAACCGATCTAGGTCATATCGGCTAATTGATCTAAAAAACAAAGAAAAAAAAGTAGCCTGAAAATCTCTTGATCAAGGAACATAATCATCAACATTGTTCTTTGAAGAATTGAAATTATAAATGTGGTAGTCTTCTCCATGGTGGGGGTTGTCATTATGTTGTGGTTTTTGTGAGACGGATGGATGTTCGTCGAACCATTTTGACCAGAAGAGGTAGTTAAGAAAATTTAGGAAGCTAAGTGCAGCCAGCAACCAGTAGAAGAGATCAAGCCTGTCTTTGTTTAGGTTATTGTCATGGAGCCAACCTCCATTGGAGGAGCTCGATGTGATCTTATTCACCATTGACACAAGCAGTGAGCTCAAATAGAATCCAAATGAGTATGAGCAATATGTCATGGCTGTTAAAAATGCTTGCATCCCTTTTATTGATTGGTTGTAAAAGAACTCAATGAGTCCAACTGCTGTAAACATCTCTGATAACCCAAAAATAAGGAACTGTGGTGTGATCCAGAAGATCGATATCGTCTGGTTCAAATTCACAGCTGAATCTCTCCTCTTTTTCTCCATTATGGCTGCTGAAACCATCGAAAAGGCAGAGAGAAAGAGACCGAAACCAATACGTTTTAAAGGAGATATTCCAGAGGTATGGCCAGTGAATTTTCTAGCAAATGGGACAAAGAATGTATCATACAAAGGGACGATGATAATGAGCATAATGTAAGGAATAGACTGGAGGGAAGCTGGTGGAATGTGGAAGGATTTGGTAAGTTGGGTGTTCATGAGACTTCCTTGTTGAACTGAAAATGTTTGGAGCTGAGCCAATATGGTATTGAAAACTATTGTGCAGGCAAATATTGGGACAACTGAAACTAATATCTTCACTTGTTCAACTTGATTGGGAGTGCACAATCTCCATGGGCTTTCCTTTGCTGCTTCATCCTGGTTTTTGATACAAGCCTTGTTCAAGAACCTGAAATTTGTTTCAAAGTCATGTAAAGATTTGAGTTTGTTTAAGGAAAGTTTAGGAGAGGTTCTAAAACAAGTTCAAAATGGAGAATTGAAGTGCACTTGCCTGAACTTTTGAGTGGGAATAAGGTTGGCAGAGTGAGAGGATAAGCCAACTTTATCATTACTGGTTTGGCTTCCATGAAGCATATGAGGGTTGGAAGGACAAACTTGCTTTCTTTTCAAAAGGGCAGCAACAAAGACCTGAAGAATTGTGTGTTTTTACACCAATTTTTTGGATTAGTATGACCGAGTTTGATTCAACTTTTTCTGCACAATATGACTCACCAGACCACCACTAACTTTTAAACTTTCGAAGAGTCTACCCACTACGAGTCTATATGTATGTATACGACCTTAAAAGATTTTAGATTACGTATTATAGTTAATAGAGATAGCATGGGTTGTAAGAGTATATGATTCTAAAGTTCTTATGGAAACCGCTATGAAAAGTTAACTAACAGTACAATGACGAACAATGTAATGGATCAAAAGTATTCAAACATAAATAGAATGTTTTAAGAACAGGATAACGAAAAGGGAACGGGCGAAAATGGATGGTTTTGGGAACATTTTTCGGACACAAAGGAAAGCTTTAAGAAGAAACAAACAAATTTTATGACAAGTCTCAGTAAACTTAAGTAAAAGTAGAAGGAAAAGAAAGTGAGTTACTTGAAGAATAGGGGTGAAAATGGGTCCTTGAGGGGGTTTATTCCTGTAGTAAAAAATGCCAGCAACCAAACTGATCAAACCCAAAGCCATAACAGCAGCAGAGACTCCAAAGCCAACGTCCATGCCAGAGTGAGTTTGGATCCAAACAAGAAGAGTGAGCGCAATGAGTTCTCCAATGGAGAAGGCCAAATAAGCTGCATTGAAGTATGTTGAGAGCGTTTTGGATTGGGTTGGACTTTGTGGACTGAACTGATCAGCCCCATGAGCTATCATATTGGGCTTCACACACCCACTCCCCAGAGCCACTAAGTACAGTGCCACAAAGAATATCAATGCCTTTAACCCTTTTGCTTCCACACACTCATTTCCATCACTTTCTAACATGTTGCATTGGGGTGGCTTGAGCTGAGGAACATGAGCCTGAACCGACAGCAATATGAATCCCTGCACATATGAGTACCAGCATATTATTTGGCTTTCTTTCCCTTTACTACTCCCTCCTCTCTCTCACTATCCCTATAATCTGTCGTATATGCATGCACATGCAAAATCTTTGACTTATCTTGAGATTATGTACGTGTATGTGCGCTCACAAGTATAACTTATAACCGAAAGATTTCATGTGAGATCCCATATCGGTTGGAGAGGGGGAGCGAAACATTTCTTTATAAAGGTGTGCAAATCTCTCTCAAACTGACGCGTTTTAAAAATCTTGAGAGGAAACCTGAAAGGAAAAGTTTAAAGAGGACAATATCTGCTAGCAGTGGATTTGGGGTAGACACGAGGTTGTGTACCAACAAGGACGTTGGGCCCTGAAGAGAGTGGATTAGGGGGTCCCACATCGATTGGAGAAAGGGAATAAGTATCAACAAAGACACTAGACCTTGAAGGGGGTGGATTGTGAGATTTCACGTCGGTTGGAGAGAGTAACAAAACATTTTTCATAAGAGAGTGGAAACCTCTCTCTAGCAGACACGTTTTAAAAACGTTGAGCGAAAGTCCGAATTGGTCCATTATAATATAATTGCACTAAGATGCTGTTTAAGTTTGATATAAGCTTTGTTTGAGGGGATTGATTCATCGAACTTGTTGATTATATGTTCTAAAAGAGAAAACCATATATAAATTTTTGATAAACATGAAAGGATGGAGAGTTTGATGTGTGATCTTGAGTGTTAAAAGAATGATTTTGATAGAAATGAAAGAAGAACGATGATGATGAAAGGAGGAACTTACAGAAAGTTCAACAAAGCCAAAGATAAGCATGGTCCAAAAACTCCCAAGATAAGAATCAGACAGGAAGCCACCAACAAGTGCCAAAAGAAACACTGTTCCAACAAAGTTTGTCACTATGTTTGCAGATTTTGACAGTGAAAAGTGCATCTCATTTATCAGATATGTTATCAGATTGTTCCCAACTGCAGCGATCGCCATTATCTCGAACGCTTGCAGTCCTGCTCACCGACCACACACGACACGCTCACTCTGTCAGATTCATTCATGTCCTCATTCTTTTTAGAATAAAAAGAGAAAGAGAGTTACCAAGAACAAAAGCAGCTGCTCTCATTCCGCCGTGGGAGACGGCGTTCGAGGGTCGTCCTCTCCAATCAACGGTGACATCTTCAGATGGCATGGCGTTGGCGTTGGCGTTGGCGTTGTTCTCCCCCTTGAAATCTCTCCTTCTTTCCATCTCCATTTCTTTGGTGTCCTAACTCTTGTTGTTTGTGCTGAATCTGAGGCTAAGTTCTTGTGTTGGCCCTTTCATTT